TGGAATGAGAATCTGCCGGTACGTTTAAAGCCGTGGCAAGAGAGGGGTGAAAGTACTCTAGAGAGAATCAGAGAGGAACATGGTATGTATGCATCACTCATGTGCTGTCCCTTGCGCTTCAGGGAGTGAATTCGCACACTGTTACACTTCTATTCGCCTTCTCTTCATTTACTAGGGTAGGTATTATTACTGAACTTTTCCCAGTTGGTTCCCTGCTCTAACCGATGAAAGGAATCGAAGATGATGTTCTATTTGGTGCAACGGTCCATTGACGCTGCAAGTTATGCGGGCCTTTTGGAAAGAACCAGAAAATGCAAGTGACAAAACAGGAATTATTTGTATGGAATGGCGCTGATCTGCCATACCAAATAGGCATTTTCCTCCAAGTGCAGTCGCACCTCGCTATCTCGTAGGGCATCTCAGATCTCTTGATGTCTCGTACGGGAGAGCTAGGTACTGCTCTTCTCCACCAAGGGCTATCACTGTCTCATAGGGCCTGGCTCCCGGAATGAAGAGTTAGAGCATGAGAATAAGACATGCCGGCTCCCCTGAGCTGGGTTTCCCGGCCCAATGCGCAACGAGACATGTGTGGGCTCGGTCCCCCTACCCCTACATCGGGCGTATGTAGGGAATTCTCCGCGCTTGCCTGGCTGCGCCGTGTCTATCATTATGTAGTCGTTAGTACCGGGGTTTATGGGTTAGTGACTTAGAACACCTTTTTGGCGTATTACTGGTTGGAGCTGCAGAAAGTGATATGTACTTGGCGCCAGAAAAAGTACTTGAATAGGCTGCCCCCCATCTTTTGCAACGCAACCTCCAAGACCGCAATTTGACTGTTGTTTGCGCCCAGCTCCATCAGAAAACACTCCGATGGCTTATGGGCTCACAATATTATCTAGAGGAAGCTGGGAGCCAGCGCTATTCTGCAGTTATTTTTTTGTATTTTTTAGCAAAATATATAGATTTTGAATGAGGATATATGAAAGTTCTTCAGACTTTGTACCCCCATACAAATTGAATGCGCTAAGGCTGGTGTGATTGATGATAATTGGTTGCCATTCGTGGCTCCCATATAAAATCCTTGCATTTTCAACCAATGGAGCAGAGTTCTTCACATTAAAGGTGAACACCCGGTACCTACATTTGGGAATTTGGGATAGCTTGATGTATGTGGATAAAGGTTTGTTCTATTGGGAATTCAGTGTATCATTTGTCACTTGTCACATTAAGGTTGTCATATTTCTGCTTAAACTGGCATGGGTTTCTGTAGGAATGTTGGCTAATTGCATGACAATAGTCACCCAACCTAGTTTACCTCTTAAAAGGATTTGGGGTTGTAGAATCACTTCCGCGCGCATGTGATAACCTTTTCATCAGACTCAAATAGTTCTGAACTCAAGAGAGGTATGTATTATTTCATATTCTACCAAGGGAGACCTCGCAGGCTATTTCTTGTATTTGGAGTCCAGCCTAGCATATGTGAATCATAAAACAATGATTAACATAAACCGGATGAGAGACGTACTGATGAGGGGATGATAGTCTAAGAGTGACGGAGACAGGAACCAAACTAAGTATTCTTACACCACCAATTCCGCCTCATCGTCTCACTATTCTGTAACTAAACTAGTGTCACGCACCACGGCCTGGACAATGTGTGACAGCCAGATACTAGACAGGCTCTACGGAATTCCAAAACAGGAAAGAATGACTGCCGGAAGTGCCAGAAGAGAGTTGATACAGGTCACAACGCTTCAAGGCTAGACTTAGAGACACTTTATTCTACTATTCCTTAGCTGTCGCAAAAAATGTTGATCCACCAAGAAGAAGCAAATTTGGCCATGGTGTGGCTTTGCTAATCTCTCATACAAATTTAGCCTCTCTGTTATAGAGTGTCTGCATCGATAACTTAAGGGGGTGGTACTATCGTCCACTTTGGTTAAAATCGAATTCCTTGAAAACGACTGAAGGAATAAGTAGTAAAGGTTTGGTAAAGACAATGAAGGGTGGTTTTACTGACGCTTCTCTAAGTATCAGCCTCCAGCGCATGCCGTGAAAATCAAAGGTTTTTAGTGAAGGGCCCTTTTTGGATCTCGAGATAATTGGGTCCTCAAATAAAGTACTTCAGTAGTGTGGTCGACGAGACGAGTTAGCTCGAGTCCTCGACTCGAGCCCAAAAGCTGGAGCAGCCACGAGCAGCTACCCTCACTAGTCGAGCTGGCTCGAGCGTTTTTCGCTGCTCGACTTCAGTTGAAAAGCTCTGAATATCCCCGCCTGAAAACCATGCTAGATATGAAATCTCGAAGACCTCAACCCTAACCCTAATAATAATATATATTTGCAACAAGAGAGCTGGAATGACTCCTGGAGCTCCTATCTGGGGCCACTGAAAAGCCCGAGCCCAGCTCGAGCTACTCGAGGTTTTACAAGCAAGACAAGTCGAGCAGCTACTAACACGAGTCGAGTCAAGCTTTTCCTCCTGCTCGTCTCGAGCCGACTCGTCGACCACACTAATTATACATGCTGAAAATTATGGCTTGATACTACTAGTATAATGTTATATTAGGACGCCTTGTTATTATTTGTTTCATCAGTGATGGCCTTTGTCAATAAAAACATCAATAAAATGGCCTGTATATGTGAATGCACCAGCAAAGTCGTTAGTAGTTAAAACGACTTTCCCTCCACCATAATATTGACACTTGCAAGCGAAGATTCAAGCCCCAAAACCACTTTCTCGATGACTTCACTTAATACTCTCAAGTACACATTACCATACGCTCTAGAAACATCAACATCACGGGTGCGGCACACTACACACAGACATTAAAACCCCATCACGAACACTTTTGTTGAGTGGCTGCAGGTGATCTTAGCGCATAGAGACATAGATACGGTAATTAAGTGTTCCTCTTTTCTCCCAACTTTTCATACAATTACATCATATCTCACTTGGAAAGGACTAATACATTTCGGGTGTGTATTGTGTATGTTTTCCAGGATAGACACTATAGGACGAGGACTATATATGAGGAGGTTTCGGGCTGTCAGAAAGGTACCTAGCACCCGCTCACGCTAATATACAAGTCGTTCATCAGCTGAAAACTGAATATTTACACTTCTCTCGGCTCCGGATGCCCAAGAATCTACAATTGTGCAAGACATCTTCAGGGACAGACCGTCTCCGCTCATGAGCTATCACAATCCCTCAAATCCCCACTAGGTACAGCGGTTCTAAGTCAAATCCGCAATTTGACTGGTTGCTGGCTGGTTGCTACATACAAATTCGCCAAATGGGTGTATTCGCCAAATGCCTGTGAATCGCTGTACTTATTGACTGATTGGAGACAAACCTTTTGATCTGCAAGGGCAACGAGAGATTAAGGGGGGGGGGATTCAAACTCCCGGTTGTCTTGAAGCTTTGGCCCCCAAGACAAAGTATGAGATTTCCAGGGGTCCCCTATTGGGAAAAAGCTTGTCAGTAAAGTAGTATTGTCTCACGGGATCGCCTTCCTTCGGTTGTAAGATCATGCATGGCAAAGGGTAATGAAAGCTTGATTAAGGGGGGTTGGGCGCGCGCAGTGCTGGTAATGGGGATGATACATTTTACCACTGACGTACTGCAGCTACTCGTAATTTCATAACGTCTATAAAAGGAACCACTATTACATACTATACAAAGACGCCCCAAGTCCACGATTTAGTATGGCATCCAATAGCGGTTCCTTTTACAAACGTCAAGAAATTACGAGTAGTAAGAGGATTCCACATATATGCCCGGTGAGATTGCGGTGTCTGGTTTCGGGCGCTGAAGCCCCCTATCGCACTGACGATGAAGATGCTTAGTTATTAAGTGTAACATTCTCATAACTATACAAACAGCGGATCGCGGATTTAGTATGCAAAAAAAAACATAACCTGACCTGAGATATGGTTGGCTGGAGCATTTAGCAAATGCCCGTACCCACTGCGCGGCTTCGATGATTTAATTAGCCCAAGCCAACCTCTCTGGTTAATGGCAGTGAAAAGAGACAAGTCAGCTCAGGACTTGGTAACAAACCGAGAAATTAATATAACAGAAACCCAGACGTTCTCGAGCCATACTAGTTCTTAATGCTGGATCCGAGCCAAAATCTTGTTTTTAAATTTTGCCGTAGCCATTACCAGCCCAGCCCAACATGCAATTGTCGCGACGAATATGTTGAATTTACCGACATAAGAAATGTTTTGGTACACGATTGATCTACAGGGGAATAGAGAGAAGAATTGAATTAACTAATTGATAATCTATGATGGACCTCCGGCCATCCTGATCTATGTGAAATAATAAATGAGCGAACTGATAAAAATTGACTGTTGAAAAGAGGACTCCATGCCATATGGCATCTTGCTTCTGGTTGAACGACGATTCACAGGGGTCTTTGTCAGTCAAGACAGTGGCGCTCAAGCTAGTATGCAACCACTTGTTTGGCTGAAATCTGTGTTTTCGTCGTTGTCCCAGGTTCGTCGTTGCCCCAAAGTTGACTGTACCTACAGTCCTTTAAGCCGAGCCGAGCTAATCTATTCAGCTATCGCCGCTCGTACTGCGGTACCGTCAATTCTCTAATCCACATTATCCCCGTATTTGTATGTGATAAGTCCGAACCAAGGCGAATTGGCGTATCAAACTTCACGGATTCGTGCAGATTCATACTTTCTCTCACCGGAATTAAGCGGGGATAGTGAATTTCTCGAGAATTGACGGTACTGACTATGAGCTGAATTAATGACTGAGCTCTAAGAATAACTAGCACCTGAGTATTTAGGCTAGACAGTCTTGAGTATGCGAAGAAATTACAGAGTTTCTTTCTTACACCCCCTTTTGATCAACATGAGCTAGTGTCGAGTTGTTTTAAATGCCCGCTTCGCCCTGGAAGCCCCTGATGTCTAACATGTCGGACACAAGAAGCGAAATATAAGCACGCCCTCTCTCACTCTTACAGTCCAGAAATAAAAAGAAATGGACGTACTGGGAATCGAACCCAGGACCGTCTCAATTTTCACTGCCTCAGAAGAGGCACTGCAAATGAGAAATTATACCCCTAAACCATGCGCCCTTATATTTATTGGTTGTTGGAGCTAGCTTTAGGCTATTGTCAGATCTTCACGCTTAACCAATGCTTGGCGGTAGGCGCTAGGATGAGTGAGGTTTAGTGACGATCTCACACAAAGAACCGGCCCCCTGAACCTCCGATCAACCTCCCCCACCTCTGACAACAGAATAAAACAAAATAAGAAATCGAAGACATCCCGTGGATATCCTGAAGGGGTTCGAATTTGAACATTTAGCGATAGATCACAGATTGTACATGTCTCGATATTTGCAGACCCCCCCCCTGGGGGGTGCCTACAAACTACATTTGAATGCCTACAAATCCTTGAATATATCCACCAATAAGCAACTAGATATCTGACATAACCTCGATCTAGGAAAGCCACTCCTGATATATCTTCCTTCTTTGTAATCTATTCATCCTCTGCATCGTCTCTTAGCCCGCCCAACGCTAACCTCGTTTCGATTTTTTCTCGTGAATCCATCACGTAAATCATTTCCAGATGGCTAAGGCTAGTTTATCTTAGTGTCAAGTGAGCAAGGGAGAGTGTGAGGCAGTTACGAGATATCTTGTCGAAGTTGTAAGGTAAGAAGTGGCCTCTGTACCTCCTCAGCCGGTTTTCCTCGGGCGCGAATTGAGTGTGGTCTTGAGAGAGGAAAGGGTAAATATGGAAAGAATACATGAGTGCGAGACAGCAACGAAAGTAGGTAGGAAATGACTTGAAGTGACTGAAAAACCTTTATACTCTGAATGTATATACAAGCCAAAAATGCAGCTACTCTGAACCAGTCGGCAACGGCCCTTATCTAGGGAAGTCTCTGGATATGGCACAGTGTATTATACTATAGAAGCCTATGCATGTCCCTGGCTGGTACGACCTTAGTATACCACCCCCGGGATACCATAGATGGTAAAAGCAAACCTGGGCCCGCTAGGGTAATATGCTGTCCAGCGCATAATGTCTACAGCTGCGATAAGTGCGCCAGTATTATGAGTAACCCCATTTATATACCATAGACTTTAAATACATAGTGCTACACGTACTCTCGGGGGTAGATGTGTTTGAGAACGTATTATATATGCTGGGTGTCTTAAGGATTCAACTAATATACACAAGTGATTATCAGGTGATTAGGCTGTGTTGTTTGCAGATCGATGAAAAGACACAAAGTAGCCCCTGCCCTTCTGTTCTATCAGAGTGCCCCGGAACCTCTGGTAATAACATTGTGTTGATGCATGGACGTACGACCCAATGATCGGACAGGCCATCACTGCGCCTATCTATACATATATGATAACTGCTGGTCTCTATATCGCACATACCCCCGTGATTACTAGACTATATAAGTTATCTTTACCATTGTTATACGCTCCTGAGAGTTCTTTGAGTGTTGGAGTCTCTCCTAGCGGGGCCAATGAACGTGGAGGAAACAATCGTGCACACGGAGCTGAGACAATGCACCGAGTGATATCATGTGAGTCGCCGGCATCTTTTTTGTTTAACCCATGGAGAACGTATATGTGGGTGCCACAACACGTTGGATACAGTGCTAGCCCAGAGACCCAACACAGAGCTAAGATCCTTAACCACCTCCCTAGGAGGGTCGGCGTGACGATCCGAGAGTCAATCATGCCGAGTCGGTCATATGCGGGTCGAGTGATGCATTATGATGCACCGCTGCGGACAGAAGTGGCGGGAACAGTCCTGTCTGGATGTGTATACGGGCTGGCAATAGTCTTCCGTGCTGTACTGCTAGATTCGGACTTGGGGTGTGGGGGGGGGGGGGGGTGTCGGTGAAGCAGGGCTTTTAAAAAATCACCGGTTGTGGTGGGTGGACGGACAGGCTGTATAGTATATCTGGCAGGCAGAGAGTAGCGGTGCATATTGCACACAATACGGAGATGATTTCGCGGGGGGGTGGGGGGGGGGGGGGGGGGTGCAAGTTAGAGAAAAGCAAATTAAAGGATTACTAGAGCAAGGGGAAGCTAGCCAAAACATGCCAAAGCGTGTGGTCTCGTAACCTACGAGTGATAAGGTGTGACTGCGGACATTACCTAGCTAGACTTGTCTTGCAGTCTTCCCGCGCGCGGTGATTATCATCGAGTGGAGGAAGGCTCGCCATCTTGGAGAGACCAGCTTGCAATTTGCCGTGCATGGAAGCATCACATATATATAAACTATGATGGCTACAAGCCCTATATATAGGTATCAAGCACGGCTCAGGTATTCATTGTACATTCGATTCCGGGAATTCGGGTATAGTTCGTGATCATGAGATGACACAAAACGTATTCAGGCATGGTCTTGCCTTGTGTTAATTGTGTTGTGCCCATCAGTAGTTCAAGGCGAGACGTAGGTAGGCTGCGCGGGTATTTGTACTGATACGTGAAGGAATACAGAGCTGTGGCCGGAGAAGTGGGAAAGTCTGGCGCTTCTGGCTCGGGTTCTGATTCTGATTAAGGAGAACGGGGCATTTTGCATGCATCATGTACCAGGGAAGTAGCAGAAGAAGAAGAAGGCTTAGATGGATATATATGATGTTGTTATATATTATGCATATGCCCATTTATAAGATGGAAACTACCACTTTATTCAAACACGCCCTCAGCAAACCAAATACAGAAAAAGTACCATGACAACAATGAATCTTATCCAATGCAGGAACCCCATAAAAAAGCCAATCCAGTCTATATATGCACGCCCCCCGATGCAAAAAACAAAAAAGAAAATTACCCACGTCCGCACTTGCGAGTACCCCCCCACCCCCAACTACATGCAATATACCTGCTAGTTCTTCCTCTTCAACAACTCCAACACCCTCCCCTCCTTCGGCGCCTCCACGAACCCGACGGCCATCCCGCCTACGCCCACCATCTCATACCCGCCTTCCCTCTCCCACCCCACCCCGCCGTCAGCCCCTCTACACTCCAACCCGACGACCGTCCTACCCCTCCCCTTCCCCCACCTCCCCGCCGACAGCCCCCCCTCCTTGCTCCCCTCCAACATATTGACCACCACCCTCCCGGTGCTCACCTGATTCAGCAGCTGCCGCAGCTCCTTCACCCTCACCCTCCTGCCCAGCCAAAACACCATCGCCACGCCCCACACACCGCACCACAGCGCCACCAGCAGGCCCACCGGCACCGCATACCGCACATCGTACCACAGCACCCGATCATACACCCTCACCACGCCCACGCCCCTGCCGCCCGCCGCCACGCTCGTCACCAGGTTCGCAAACACATCCGTCCACACCAGGCCCGGCAGCTCGGCCACGCTGCCCGCATCCGCCGTCACGCGCTCCCACTGGCGGTACAGCGCATAGTTTGTCTTGCCGCTGTAGTCGGGCGTCAGCAGGCTGGTCTCGTACATGAGCCCCGCCGCATACTGGTATGCGCCTGTGCCCGCGAGGCTGTCGGCGATGCCGCCGCCGCCCTGCCCCGCCGGAAGGTACAGCGCGTGTGCGCGCGTCGTGGCGATGCCGTCGGTGTCGGCGTCGTTGGGGTGCAGCGGGCCCCAGAGCGGGCTGATCTGCGCGGCGGTGAGGTTAGGGTGGGACTCGATGGCCCAGAGGGGCGCGGAGGGCGGGAGCGTGGCGTTGTGGATGGTGAGGGAGGCGAGGTCGCGCGCGGTGCCGTTGGAGGTGAAGTGGGTGGTGCGAAGGGTGGCGCGGATGGCGGTAGCGCAGGTGTAGAGGGGGTAGCGGTAGGTGCCGGCCAGGTTGGAGGACTCGGTGTCGTTGCGCCGGGGGGCGCCGATGATGAGGCCGCAGGTGACGAGGGGGGCGCCGGAGGGGGTGGTGGTGGTGAGGCCGGCGCAGTGGGAGTCTGGGGGAGTGTCAGTGTGTGTTGAGTTTGGAGGACAGAGGGGTGTCGGTGAATTCGGGGGGGGAAAGGGAGGGGGTATGATGGGGATGAAGGAGTTGGGGGGATGGAAGTGGGATCTTGGCTGGTAACGATATATCGATAGAACAGGAGGGAGGTAGATCAACCAGGTATGTTCTGTCGATGATCAATGTATGGGAAGGAGAGGTGGGGAGGAGGTGAGGGCAGAAATGGTGCACCCCCGGTAATGATAGCACAGGAGGGAGATCACTTGTACGTGTTGGGGTCCTGCCAATGACCGATGTTATGGGGGGGGGGAAGGGGAAGGGGGGGGTATAATATAGATGACTGCCAATGATAGGAAGAGTGTAAAAGCAAGCCATACATATAACAGAGAAAGCAAATATAAAAACCTACCAATGCTCGTCCCGTTCTGCGTCCCATCCACAATCTGCGCCCCCAGCGCCACCCGATGCACCACAAACTGGCTGTCTCCCAGGCTGCCACTCACCACCTGCAGCTTCCCAATCCACACGCTGTCCCCCTCAATCTCAAAATCCGTCTTATCCCCCGCCTGCTCCCCCGCGCCCACCGCTGCCGCCACATCCTTATTGAAATAGTAAGCCCCCCGCCACGCCCTCGCCGCCAGATCCGGCACCCCCGCCACATCCGCCACCACCCCCGGCTCCTCCCCCAGCCCGCGGAACCCCCCCGTATCCACCAGCACGCTCACCGCGCCGCCGTCATCATCCGTCGTCACCTGCAGGCTCACGTTGTTTGCCACGCACGCCGTCTCGGGCGCCATCCACAGCAGCGTCTCCGCCCAGCTCGCCCCGTTCTTCTTCTTCTCGCGGTCCGGCACCGCATGCTTGCGGAAGCCCACGCCGCCGCCGCCGCCGTCGCTGGTGTCGACAATCAGCCCGTCAATGAGCTTGTACCCGCGGCTGAGGATCAGCGTCTCCAGGAAGCGGAACTGCCCGATGGTGTAGCGCAGCCCGTTGGCAAGCGTGTGCTGCGCAGCGTTGAGGATGATGTAGTTGCGGAACTGGATGTCAAAGACGCTGGCCACGCTCGCGCCGTAGAACGCGGCGGATTTGGTGAACAGCGATGTCAGCGGTGCGGGCACACTGGAGCCGATACGGTACTTTTTGGCGGTGGCGCGGCGCGTGAGGCGGCGG